GTGGTGTGCGGGCTTCTCACTGCGGTGGCTTCTCGTTGTGGAGCACAGCCTCTAGGCACGCGGGCTTCAGTAGTTGTGGCACGTGGGCTCAGTAGTTATGGCTCGTGGGCTCTAGAGCACAGGCTCAGTCATGGCACATGGGCTTAGTTGCTCCGCGGCATGTGGGATCTTCCCAGACCAGGGCTCGAACCCGTGTCCCCTGCATTGGCAGTGAGATTCTTAACTACTGTGCCACCAGGCAAGTCCCGGATTCTTATTTATTGAAAATAATCTTCTTCCCCACTGATCAGCAGAGCTCCTTTCATGTATCAGGGACTTGCCTATGTGTGAGTGTGTTTCTGAGCTCCTGTTTGTTTCCACTGGTCTGTGTGTCTGTGCTTGTACCAATACCTCAGTCTTGATTATGGTAACAGTAGTTAGTCCTGTTCTATGGGAGAAGTCAGTCTTCCCATCTTTTTCCAAGAGTCTTTTTCTTGGCTTATTCTTGGCCCTTTGCATTTCCATATTAATCTTAAAATCACTGTGGGATTTTGATTGGAATAAATCTATAAACCAATTTGGAGGGAATGAGCATCTTTAGAATATTGTGCTACAAATGTGGTATTTTTCTCCATTTATTTAAGAACTTATTATTATTTGGCCATACCCCACAGCTTGTGGGATCTTAGTTCTCTGACCAGGGGTTGAACCCCTGCCCCCTGTGCTGGAAACACAGAGTCTTAACCACTGGACCACCAGGGAATTTCCTCTCCATTTTTTTAGATTTTCTAAATCTCCCAGTGAGGTTTTATAATTTTCTATGTGGTGGTTTTACATATCTTTTGTTAGATTCATTTTCAGAGGTTTCATAAGTTTTAATGCTGTTATGGTATCTTTTAAATTTTTTTCGCTTTCTAACTGTTGTTGCTGGTCCCAAATATTTTTCTGAAGAAATAACAGATGCAATTTGTATGTGTCTGTTATCTGCTTTGCTGGGTGGGATGGGAAGAATTATGTAAAGAGAAATGAACAGGACAGAATGTTCACTTCGACATAACTCATTCCCCTTTCATAGGTTTTTCTCCTTTGTGTAAAATTAGGGAAGTACTCATTTGTTTTCCATATGTGTAGCCTGTGGAAGAAAGGGCAGATAATGTATTTTTTTTCCTGTAAGAGTACACTGTATCCTTTCATGCTTTAGTGTTGCACAGGAGGTACTAATTAACTGCTGGGAGAAGTAAAAATTTTGAGTGGGCAGTTTCTGATCCAAATTACATTATTTTCTTGGGGAAAGGAAAGATTTGTTACTTACGTTCCTCAGGAAGCCTGGTTGTCAAGGGTTTTTTAGATTAGCCAATGTGAAAATGCCCAAATCTTAAGCATGCTAGTTCATTGAGCAATTCTGGTTAAAATGTGATGTAGAGAATTTCATAACCTATTTCATCTCAGTACTGAGAGAGAATCAATTTCCCATTCTTGAGTATTCATCAGATGTTGTGCTAGGCTCCTGGAGAACAGATACCAGATAGAATCTCCCTCTTAAACAAACAAACAAACAAAAAACAAACAACATACAAATAACTTCCCTCTCCCAGAGAAAATTCTTATTAGCACATGGTTTATTTCCCGCTAGTTTTCTTCCAAGTGTATGTTTTAAAAATAACTGAGCTAATACTATAGACTCAATTATGTGTCCTGCTTTTTTTCACTTAGCACTGGAGCTTAAGATTTTTTAGTCGTTGAAATGCTTCTTATAAGTAGCCTTTTAATATGTGTAGAACTTCCATTCTGTGCCATCACTTATTTCATTTCCCCACTGATTGGACATTTGAATCATTTTCTGTTTTTCACACTTACACTAATATTTGGATGAACATTTTAAAAGACTTTTCTGCATTTTAGGTTATTGAGGTCCTCAGAAGTGAAAATATTGGCTTTAAGAATTTGACCGTTTTAGCATTGAAAACATTTATTCAGTGACTGTTGAGCACCATCTGTATGCCAAGTATTGGAGAGACAGTCAGGAACAAGACAGATAAGGTTCTCATTGTCATGGAGTTTACAGTTAGTGAAAGACAGAAAGATTAAACAAAGAGTTACACAAGCCAATTCATAGTTACAAATTTTGGTAAGTGCTTAGGGGGAAAAAAAAGCACAAGGTGTTAAACAGATTAGCAAATCTCACTGTGATGGTTCTAATTTAGGTGTGTGGGGAGGCAGGGAGGTTGGTCAAGGAGGGAGAGATGTTTAGGCTGATAGCCAAAGCACAAGTAGTGAGCGCTTGGCTCAACAAAGCAAAGAGGGCATAGCCTGTGTTCAGACTGGGGAGAGGAGGAGGTGGGGAAAGGGGTCTGGGACAGGCAAGGGTTCACTGGGGAAAACTTGGCACAGAAGAGCTAAAAGAATATCATTCTGTCAGTGGAGAGAGAGAGAGAAAGTGATGTGAAATAAGTAGATAGTTAAGGGCCAGATCACACAAGCCTTTGTAGGCCTTGTTAACAATTGAGGTTCTTGAGAAATACATTGTCCCATTCCATTCCAGAGTGGCCCACCAAATTTACAATTATGTCAACCCTGTTGGAGTGCCAGTTTCACTTACTGACATTGATAGTCTTATTTGTAAAGGACTTTGATGATGTGATCGTTGAAATGTTTTCATTTCAGTTTGTATTTCTTTGATGGTTAGTGAGGAATAATCTTTCCCCAAATGTGTGTAGTTGTTTCTTCATTTTTGACCATTCAGTTCATTTCCTTTCTCACTAAAAGATCATTTTTAAGGTTCTTCCACAAGTACTTGTCTAGTTCCTCTTGATTACGAACATTAAAGGCCTTTGGGGAGCCAGTGGTGGGTGGGAAAGCTTTATATGAATAAACTATATTGCTATACTGCAGTTATTAAGTCCCTTTAGAGTGGATTAATAGACTGTAGATCATATTAAATTTTTGTTAATTAGCTAGAGAGTTATGATTAAAAGCAAAAGAGCTTTTATTTTATTGGGAATTAAGATCATTACCCTTCATTTCCCTGGTTCCATCAACTTGAAAATCATGTTCACGTGTGCAGAGACCTTTTCAAAGTTTACTTTAGTTCTCTTTCTATGAAATTTTGCTAATTTGCACAAAAATTAGTGGATTTGAAGCTGCCATAGGAGTTCAGACTTTTAGAATTGTGAAACCTGTTTTAAAACCAGTTTTCACATTGAGTCTGATGCTGTGCTGATACTCTTCAGGGTGAATGCAAAATCCTAGCAGTAGGCAGATTATGTTGCTTATTGTTTTTTTTTTTAGATTAATTTTTTGGATTTCTGTTTTAAAAATTGTTTTCTTTTTATTTAGCTCCTTTTATCCCAAAGTGCAGATGAAATAATGGGTGTGGAGTTGCTGTGAAAAAGTAAACAAATCAGTTGAAATGTGTTGTGTTAATGTTACTACCACCACGTGACGTGACTGTCAGTACTGTATCTCTGTCGGGCTGGAATATTGACAGTTTACATTCCGAGCACTCTTCTACAGCAAACAGAAAAGTTTTGGCAGAAGGGGAACAGCCCTCTGCCCTTCCTACCATCTTCTTTGCAGGAATCTTATAATTTGTATTTATTTTCCTCTAAGTACAGAGCTGTGAGAACTTGTTTCACTTGAAAAACCCTCACACAGCAAATTGTCCAGCCCACATATGGACAAAGGAATGACTCAAGCTTTTAGGGATTCTTTTCCTTTAGTTGGTAACCTCTGACCAGACTATCATGTAGTCTGAGAGTTGGAATTGACCCGTTTTTCATAAGATGGTTTGTGAGCTTGGTTGTGAGAAGGGGCCAGTGAGAATGCTTCTCTCTTCTCAGAGCAGCATTTAGCCCACACCGGCTGCCACTCCGTTGCCTGTTGAGTCATTCCCACAGTTCTATATAGAGCTTTTCTGGCTTTTCTTTTAAACATGATGTTCTTGGAGTGAGAAAGAAAGGAAGTTTTTTCTTCTCCACAGAATCTCCCCCACCGCAAATCTGAATTGCTTTCTCTTTTCTAATAACAGAATATTGCTGTCAATCATTCTGAGACTACTTTCTCTTTTAAGACCTCTAAGCACTTTCATTTATCATTTGTGTGACTACGTGAGCATTAAGGCATTTGCTGGGCTGAGTTTGCCCAGTAGGCTTTCAAGATACAGGCTGTCACCCAGAAAAAACCGAGGCATTCTAGCTAAACATACCAAAAATGGATTTCTAGTTTTCAGCTATTTGAAAGTCAGTTAGGGACTTCCCTGTTGGCGCAGTGGTTAAGAATCCGCCTGCCAGTGCAGGGGACATGGGTTCGAGCCCTGGTCCGGGAAGATCCCACATGCCACGGAGCAGCTGAGCCCGTGTGCCACAACTACTGAGCCGGCACGCCTAGAGCCCGTGCTCCACAACAAGAGAAGCCACTGCAATGAGAAACCCGCGTACTGCAACGAAGAGTAGCCCCCACTCACTGCAACTAGAGAAAGCCCGCGCACAGCAACGAAGACCCAACGTAGCCCCCCCCCCAAAAAAAAAGAAAGTCAATCAGATATGCTGAAAGGCATCTTAATATCCTTATTATGAATATCAGTAAAAAGTACTGTGAAGGGAAGAAATGAGTTTTTAATTTTGGATAAATGGAAATTGCTGTAATTTGAAAAGATTTTAGTTTCTTTTTGTTTTTGTGATGAAAGATTAAAATGCCTCTTGTTCGTTTTTATTCAGAAGATCCTGCTCTGTGCTAGTGGAAAAAGGATTGAAGTTTCTTTATGAGGAAAGGGAAATTCTTATTTCTATAACTGTCTTCTTAAGTGTTCCAAACGTCCAGCAAGATCATAAAGCATTTTAGAGAAGTCAATAACATCAGTAAGCTCTCTATTCACAGATCCCGTGTCTTACACAGGCACAAGTAAGGAGCTCTTTTAGGGGTTTGGCAGATCTGAAAGACAGATTATAGCTCCGGAATGTATTCAGATGACTTTTTAAAACAGATATTTTCATTGGAGAGGGAGTGGAGAAAATATCTGTGCTTCTGTAGTTAAACATTCAACTTCCTTAGCCTGTTATCTATAAGTACCACAGATGAAAAAGCCGTTAGAACGCTTTTTCAGAAAACTAACTCACCGTACATATTTATTTGTGTGTATGTGTTTATATATGCCTGATCCCATCCCACCTCCCATTAATGGGTCAGTAATTGGGCTGTGTCTTTCACAAGACTGAGCTGTTTGGATTATGTTTAATCTGTTGCTCTGAACTGCATTAGCAGCAGAGTCCCTCATAGTAAGGTTTTGAACAAAACACTCGTCTTCTCTTCTTGAAAAGAGAGGGGGAAAAAAGCAGTTGATCTCTTTTCTGAAGGTCTTTCTGTCTGTCTCTCCCCTCCCCCCAGAGACGAATAGCAAGGGGAGGAGCTCACTCACTGTTCTAACCACACTTCATATGTCTTAACTTGAGTGCTTTTTGGTTTCCTGTCGGCAGTAAATCAACTCTGTGCCATCTTGACTTGTGTGAAGGGTGGATAAATTGGTAACTGCACTCAGAAGGGGAGTGAGTTCTCACAGTCTGATCTGAGCATAAGGCATGAGACTGAATTTATGAAAGCTTCAGTAGCCTCCGAAGACAACATCTTTCTTCTGCGACTTTGAGGTTTTTTCATTATATTTGTGGGCTCTTGTTTCTGAGAAGAACCTGTCATGACGCTACTGGAACCTGAGATGTTAATGATGGCTGTACAGTCCGGTAATTCCCGTATTGCCTGCAAATCCTATTTGCCATAGCTTTCTTAAAAAACATTGGGCATATTTGTACTAGGGTTGGATGGAGATGGGGAGGAAGATAGAGGGAGGGTAAATATAAGTTGTCCAGTAAATGTACTGCATTTTCAGGATTTTATTGTAAAAAATATTAATAATTTTTTCCTGATTGCAAATTCTAGATCTTCAGACATAGCTTTGAATTAGATGCTTACCGACCTTAAGATTGTTCAGTGAGGAGACATGTGAGAAAAAACGACTTGTCTTCTTTAATCAAGTATTTTGTTATTGTCTGTGGTGCTGCTTTTAATGAGGGATAATTAAATTGCTTTTGCTGTTTTATACAGTACTGTCTTTAATCACTAATCTACACTCTTCTTTAAATGGCTCTTTGTGAAAGCGTGTCTTAAAATTTTTCCTTAGCTGTTTTTCTCTTTTGTGGGAAATCTTTTATTTGTATCATCTTCTGGTTCTTTGGAAATCCTCTTGATAACATGTAGGATTGGGACTCTTAAGTTTTGGAGATGAGGAAGTTTGAGCAAGGAGGCAGCCAGTCAACAGAAGGAATGCAGGATTTTTGAAATTCTATCTCTTAACAGTTTTCCCAATTTAAAAGTATCTTTCAAAGCATTTTAAAAATCCCAGTTTGTTTTTAATGATTTCTTTTAGTGTTCTTAAACTTGTAAGTTAGATATCTAAAAATAGGGAATGTTCTTTTGTTATTTTTAGACTTCTACTAAAATGTAGTCTGTAGCGTTTTCCTGTTTCAGAGAATATCTTGAAAGATTCATACAAGTGGCATTTGGGGACCTCTTCCCATCCACTGGCCTTCACTCAAAGGAAAATTAGACTCCTTGGTGCTGGCAGATACTGTCTCAGGCAGAACTGGTCTCACTGTTCTCCTCGGGGAACGCTTAGATAGTATGTTGAAAGGCACAGATATCCATCTGAAGACACAATCAGATGCTATCACATTACACTTTATGGACAGGGTATGGACAAAAAGGAAAGATATTGCTACTGTTCTGTTTTTTCTGGTTTTACAAATAAGATCATGATGAGTCGTTTATTAGTTGAGTCTTTCTGTTCATGTATGCTCTGCCTTCCAGGTTCCTTTCCTTTTCCTCCCACAGATCTTTTGAGCTTTGTGTTCTAAACAAGATAGTATGCTTATCTGAATGTTTCCCATCTGTCTTTGATGAAATAGTTCCCAGTTAAAATGACTCAGATTTTTTTTTTTTCCCCTGTTCTGTATGCTGGTTCTCTGCTGTATGTGGGCAAGTACATATTTTATTTTAGGAAGTAGAAGTTAGCATTTGGACTCTCTCTCCCTTCTTTGATCATCTTGTTACTTACAGATGATCTCAGTCCAGTAACTTTTCTTAATAAAGGTTAAAAGATTGCTTTTTTCTGAGCTGGGATCTCACTGTTCCTAGCTGGATAAGGGAAAGGGACTTACTTAATATTTTCTTGTCTTGCCTAAGAGCTGTTTTTCCTGTGACATATGTTGGGTAGGGCTAGCCACCCATCTGTTGGACCAGCTACTTCATAAAACTTTTAAAGGATAATAGTATGTAAGACAAGTATGGATGAAATTGACAGGGGTATTGGATACAGGTAGAATGAAAGGTCTGCAGAGAATAGCATGTATGTGGACCTTTTTCTTTTGCATATGTTCATAAAAGGGAAACTGGGTATAGAAAGGAGTAATAGCAAACTGATTGCTCTAGTACTTGTGGTTCCTAAATGTTCAAAAACCTTAGTACTGTGTTGCTTTGTAAAATTGTTACTGTTTTCTTCTGAAGCTGTAACCATTATACTGGATTGTAATAGTAAATAATAGATGTATCTATGATAGGAAATGAAAAAGCATCTCTTATGAAGCTTTAATTAAAAAAAAGAAGCCTATCATTCTTTCTATAAAGTCAAGACATTTAGACTATGTGAGCTGTAGGTTTTCCAGCAATAAAGTATTTGGATTTCCATGAATATGTGCTTTATAGGTGAAACTACTATTTAATGAAATGTTTAAAGTAATGAAACTCCTTTGACAAGATTCAAGATATAAGGTTTTCACCCTAAATTAAACTTTAAGATACTGAATGTTACGGCAAAGTTCCAGGATACATTGTGTTTTCATTTAGTATTTGAAGCTTGGAGATTTTTGGTGAGGCATACTTGCATGAGGAGACTTTCATCCTCCTCACTGCTGGTGGTCTCTTTCTGACCCTTTGAGATCCAGTACAGATGGTGCCTTTCTGTGAAACCTCTCTCAACAGAGTCAGCCCTTCCTTCTCTCTGTTCCTGCAGCACCACCTTTACAATGTAGATTAATTATCATTTTTCATGTCTTCCTAATTAGATTATTAGCTTCTCAAAGGCTATATATCCATCCATATATTGGCTCCTGACATTGGCACATGGTAGACACTCAGTATGTATTTTCTTTTTATGTATGTATATATGTATGTATGTCTGCGTTGGGTCTTCGTTGCTGTATGCGGGCTTCCTTTAGTTGCAGCGAGTGGGGGCTACTCTTCGTTGCGGTGCGCGGGCTTCTCATTGCGGTGGCTTCTCTTGTTGCAGAGCACGGGCTCTAGGCGCGTGGGCTTCAGTAGTTGTGGCATGCGGGTTCAGTAGTTGTGGCTCGCGGGCTCTAGAGCGCAGGCTCAGTAGTTGTGACACACGGGCTTAGTTGCTCCGTGGCATGTGGGATCTTCCCAGACCAGGACTCGAACCCGTGTCCCTGCATTGGCAGGCAGATTCTTAACCACTGCACCACCAGGGAAGCCCCATGTATTTTATTTTTTTAATGAATGAAGAAATCTGGTTTGGCATACTTACCCTAATAAATTGGCATAAGCGTCCTAAATCAAGATTTTATGAAAGTATTTTAAGATCTGTTGTTGTATTAAGACATGAATCCTCTAACTATCATCCTGTATCTTAGCCAGGCCTTGCCCTAAGCGTGTGCTGTTGAAAGCACAGCTTTCAAAACTGAAGTTCTTTCGCATCTCAAGATGTGCAGTGTGCACTCTCTTCCTGCGATGTGTACTGCTAAATCCAAGTGTTCTGATCAAGTCACAGAGGATTAAAGCACCTATCACCCCTATGGAAACCTATCTAGATCCTTGTGATTAGAAAACTAATTATCTGAGATGGACATTTGGGATTTCTGAAGCTAAGACCAAGGGAATATTGGGGCACAGCGATGACTCTGGTATGTTTTAGAACCAAGGAATGCCAGGGCTCAGCCCTTGACAGCTAATATGTAAGGCTTTGACCAGGCAGGCCCTGTCCCTGCATCCAGCCAGTGCAGTCTTCTTACTAGTTTATAACTGTACAACAGTGGATCATAGTTCCTTTGTAGAGAAAAGGATTGAAGCAGTTTCCTAGGTATGTTTGGTCACAGGATACACACCTGATCTGGATGAGGCACGGTTAGGGAGTCGGTTTGTTTTTTCCGTCTCTCTTGTGTGCATATCTCTGCACTCCCACCCACCCATGCACACACACAGACTCCATCTGCACCCTACATCCCCCCTCCCCACTCTTGTCTTGTGTAGGATATCTTTGGAAGGACTGTAAGAAACTGGCAACAGTGACTGCCTTAGGGAGAAGGGATGGAGAGCTGGGGGATTGGGACAGAAGAGACTTTTTGTTCCACAAAAGAATGGAGTTCTGTTTTAAATTTATTATGATTATGGGATACCCCATAATTGTGAAAGAACGTGTAGAGTACATATTACAACAGTATATAGAACACACAAGCCCATGGACACATTATCCAACCTGAGAAATGCAGCACAGTGTACACTAAAGTCCTCTAATTACCCTCTTCGATTTGTCCCTTAGAAAACTGCTTTGTTAGTTTTGCTTTTAACTGTATATACCTTTTAAATTTTTTATGTGTGTACCCCATACATACGACCATATAAAAGTGTTTCCTCGGTCCATTTACTCTCTCATTCCTTAATGTCTGTATACTTAATTCTTGCACATTTATTTAACTTCTGGTTCCCTAATCATTACAGTTTGCCTCTGACCTGTATATTTTATAATAGTATGGGTTAGAGAGAGAGGAGGAATAATTCATAAAAATAAAGTTAAAGGAAGATGGTGGGCAGACAACTTTTGCCCTTTTAGGTGATACATTAATTCTTTAAGGAAGGGCCCCCTGTTTGGGTTCACATCACTCAGGGGTCTATAGCGCTAGTGAAAACCTCCAGAACCTTCAGCAATAACTACCTTTTGGATCTACTAATACTCTAAATATTAATATGGGCTTTTAAAAATATGTTCTTGTTTATGTTCAAGAAACTTTAGAGCTTGAAGGAAGCCTTAGGTATTTTCTTGTCCTCTCCTTTATTTAAGATGAGGAATTTGGCTCTTTGAGGTTAGTTAATTTCCTGAAGTCACATGATTAATTGGTGGAAGAGATGGAAGGAGAATTCATTTCCTTACTCCCATGACAGTGCTCTTTCTGCTATAACATACTTACAAGGAAACCATCAGAGACCTTTGATGTATGAGATTGTTTATAATTTCCCCCAGAGATCTTGGTTTCTTTGGGTTTTCCCTTGCAGGTTTCTCCCACTACCCAGAGTGACTCACATCTTAAGAGGTAGAGATAAAAACCAGTGCCTGGGTGTCTACCTCCTGCCCCTGGGAAGTGGAGTCAGATGCTACAGGCCCTGTGGTTCCCTGGTTCCCTGGTGGACCTCCATCTTGCCCTGCCTTCTCTGGCCTGAGTGCTGATCTCATACCTTGATGATGATCTCAGAAGACAGGTAGGCAGACAAACAGATGTTGTCATCAGCATTCTGGATTGCGTCTTACTGCCCTTTCTCTGACTTATTAATTTATCTGGGGTCCCCTTAGAGTTAGGACCTACATCAAAGGAATTTGAATTCGTCTGTCTGTCTCTATCTTTTTTTCTTCCCTTTTGTTTCCTTTTGGATGAGGCAAGCTGTCAAGACCATGAAC